TTTATCATCATATCATTAGGAGATGGGCTGGTTATGTGGCACGGATGTCAGATAATAGATGGACGGAGCGGATAATGAGTGGTATCCTTGCACAATGGTGAGGCCACCAGTGAGGTGGAGAGACCTCATGGTACGCCTGCATCGCATCGCGCGGACCCAGAGAGCACAACAACGAATTGAATGGAGAAGTTGTCAGCTGCATCGATGGTATGCCAACGAACGTCGATGACATACAGCTGCTCAATTACTCAAGTACCAACATTTCATCACATTCTCCATCTTCTTTATTGCGCCAGTTCCATACGTCTCACGATAATTCTCTCCATCAGTGACTTTTGTGTTTCATTGTTGTTAATGCCTACCTAATCTCTATTGATGGTAATGAATCTCATCGTAGTTTATGAATGGCAACATTCACCACTGATATCTCAAAAGGACTAAACCCTTGACATGTGTTTCCAACGAAAGATAAACTGGGTCAGCGAATTCTTCAGGAAATGAAACAAGGTCAGTATTCGGGACAATCAAGGGCAAATGCCGCCTAAAGGAAGAGCTTGTAGTTTTCACTTATCATTAGACCGACTAAACGATCAGTGTGAGTATACTGGTTAGTGATATTGCTGAGACAGTTTCAAGAGCCGGCGCTAAATAAGCCTGGCGCCGAGGTCTACGGCTGTATGTTTCCAGCTGATCAGGAACTATTACTGAAAAGAAGGTGGTCACTTTAAACGGTACCGCGAAGATAGCGCATCAGAAAGGAAAATGGCCTAAAAGAAGGCTTGGCATAGCAGTCGGCGCGGCATGCCCAGTATTCTTGCAGAAATACAGCTGAATACAAGGCCCGTTGGTCCATAGCTGAACTATTGCAAAAATTAACTGCTCAGACTCTGAAATTACATATATTTTTTGCACCAACATCCATAGCATCTGACGATGTCGCATTTTTCATCCGGTAACGTCGCCCCGTCTTGTAATGCAGTGGTTCCACTGCGGTACCATAAATAATCAGCGTGATGTTATTAACAATTCCTGTCATTGCTTTATTTGTCATACTCTAAAAAAACAACTATTTTTGCATTCAGAAAAAAATCATTTAATGAATTTTTAAGCAATAACGAAGCGGCAAAATCTAGTTCTGTTTTCTGACTGAGTCATTGAAGAGGAACATTTTGTCCAAAAAACCTTCAAATTTTATTTTCCTTACCATTTTCTGCCCATTCTTATTCTCTTTACCATTTTTTGTCCAAAAAGCCTTCAACTTTTATTTTCCTTACCATTTTTTGCCCATTCTTATTCTCTTTACCATTTCTTGTCCAAAAAACAATCATAATTTTCGTGTCAAATGGTATCCACGATCTGTCAAATGAGTGATAGGAAGGGCAATGGCACGAGTGATTTGATTCATGAACTTGAATGTAGTTGCGGAAAGCACAAATCGTATTCAATGAAGAATTCGACGAATGTACGGATGGAGATTGCATGAACTAGCAGATATTCCAGATATCTTTAGCTTCCAAAAAATGCCACTTTCTTTCGAAACTTTGCGATCCTCAGTTACTGAATTTTTTAATTCCAGTAAAAATTAACTTTATCTTCCACATGAAGTTGCCAGATACCTCGCGGATTCTCACCCCAAGTATGCACAGACATAAAGGGCCAATGTCGGAAGCCGGCCGGAGATTTGTCTTCACGACGCACAGAGAGCAATTGAGCAGTGGTACCTAAAACCTGCTGTTTGAAGCAACAAACCAATGCAAATTTTATGAAATCAGTCCTATGTAGTAATGATAATTATGTCGTATCTTTTTTTCCCGAGTTAAGCAATTTTCCGCACAAAAACTACATGTGTGTTTACTCATTTCGAAGATTTCCAGATATGTTCATTATATGTTTTTGCATATATGCAAATGCGAAAACGCATATTTGTGATGACCCCGGCGTGTCTGTGTGCATGTGCGTGTCCGTCCTCGTATTTCAACTCGGTATCCAAGCAAGCTCCGACACCAAAATTTTGTGAGTGTGTGAGTGGGCAAAGTGCCATCCAGGACCGCGGAACCAATCCTCGCACACACTCAGGCCCCGCGTATGAGTGCATGAAAGTCTTGGCGGGTAAATCGCTAGAAAGCCGAAATTTTGAGGTTATGTTTCCCGCCCATATAGAACTCAAAGATTTTAAATTCAGCCCTGGGATGTGCGCAGTTCCCGCATACGGCCCTGGGAGGGTACCTGGCGTGAAAATCGCTAATAGGACCCGGAAAAGCCGGGAATTTTCGGGGAATGTTCCCAGCATATGTACAAAATAAATTCATCGAATTCAGCCTCTTGGTGTGCGCAGTTCTCAAGTATGGCTCCATGGAATTTTTTTGGCGGGAAAATGGCTAACTCGGGAACCAGGAAAGCTGGGAGGCTGAATGTTTTCAGCTCATGTACAATTTAAATTTATCAAACTCAGCCTCCGAGCATGCGTGGCATCCAAGTACGGCTCCATAAAAGTTTTTAGTGAGGATATGGGCAACTCGGGAACTGGGAAAGCTAGGAGGCTGAAATTTTTAGAGGATGTTCCCTGTCCAAGTACAGGGTAGAAAATTAAGTTTCCGGAATGAGAGGACTAGTATGTCACACATTTCTAGCTACAAGGTTTCCGAGCGATCTCACTGTAGCACGAAACACTGCGCA